ATGTGGTTCGGTGAATTCGACACCGTACTTGAACTGCTGTCAGGCATGGAAGGCAGAGAGGCGCAAAGTCTCGCGTTGAGGGTCGATATAATTGGCTCTTTAGGCCAATTCACTGTTAGCGGTAATAGGATAGAAGTGGAGCCGACGCGTTAGGAGGAAGGTGGAATTGAGCAGGATCATTTACAGTCCGCAAAACAAAGATCGAATTAAGTTGGACAGCCACACCCTTGCTTGGACATCTATAGCTCAGAGGGCGCCCTTTCTCATCCGGTCAACCGTCAACAGCCCTTTTCACAAAAGAAGGGCGTCGCCAAGCAACTCAATGGTTCCGAGGGGCGCCCTTTTGTTTACAGCCCTTTTCACAATAAAGAGGCCCCCCCAAGCAACCCAAAATTTCCTGACTGCATTCTATTTCCTCTACCTGCACTCATAAATCTGGTGGGCCCACCTCAATATGGGGCATTCTCTTCAAACAAAGAGAAGATCCCATATCAAGACGCAGCTGTCAAGATGAAGCCCGCAAATGTCCTCCTGCGTTGTCCGAACGCTGTCTCTAAGAGAAAAGATTCTGGCTTGCGCAAATCTCGCCGCTTCTGTCCGGGACGCGCCTGGTTAGCCTGGTCAGCTCCTCTCGAGCACCCCCATTGCCTGGAGGCATGCTTCTTCGTGCTTGCATGCCTCTGCATCCAGCTTAGCCAACTCTTCATCATCCACCACAGGTGGCTTGCCCTTGCTGGCGTCGATTTCCTCCTCCTCGTCACTGACTGCATTGAGCTGGTGCTGTAAGGCTTCTTCTGCGATCATCTCGTCGCCTCCTGGGAGCTCCTCCTGGATGCTTCTGACTCGACGCTTGGGGCTCATGCGTCTCTTCCTGGGCACTTCGTGAGTCCTCTATCCAAGCCACCGGCTAGTCAAAACAAACAGCCTACACCACAGTCTCCTGAACACTTCGTGATGCTAATGATGCACTATTCGGCATCATTTGCATTACTCGCATCACCAGGACCCCCTAAAAACATACATTTTCACTACCTTCCTGACCGCATCTGTTTTTCGCTCTCCCCCACCAGGCTCTGTGTTCACCCTACCCCCCACACCCAACGACAACTTCAGCCTAGCCTATCGGCTGGCTTTCGTAACTATGTGGCCATCCCTTCAAGGCATGATCGTGAAGCGTCATGAAGTGACCCTCCTTGTCACACTATATTATATACAGCAAGTACATCTTGCCTTAGCAAGATGTCATCCTGCAACAATATACAGCTCTTGCGTGCTACTGCCAACAGTGGCAGTTGTCCCTCAACTTGTTCCTTCACCCTCTGACCTCCGCAAACACTTTGACTTTGTCAGGTTTTCACAGGTGGTTGATGTTGCTTGTTCCATGGCTGAATGCTAGTATATGAACAATCACTAGCCGCTAGACAGCCAAACTGGGAGAAAATTCAAATGTTCTGGTCCTTCCAGGGTTCTAAGTTTTTTCTTGTGCTGCTTCAGTGTACTTAAATATGGTTCGAACCCCAGAAGAGATCCATGCTCGACTGTGCAGCTTATCTTTAAGAACTTTGTTGTTTTCAGTGATTGAGCCTGGCTTGCTGGAGTCAGGTTTTGGTGTGCTTTGCAAGTGTAGTTTTTCACACATCTCTTAGCGGAACGCGTGCAGGCTGTTTTGCATGACCGGGCCATAGCAAAAGTACTGGAACCGGAGAAACCCGTCACGTCGCAAGCAAGCGAGGCTGAGACAAAACTCATAAACAGCCCAACCAGTCACAATGACCAAAGTATTGGATGTGATCAATGGAAGCAGCAATAAGACAGCAACACCAAGGATGGTGGCAGAATCAATCGCAAGCACTAACATGCATCAACACAATTTGAAAAGGACATGCCAGAACAATAACAACAAAGCTACACCTCCAATGACAACAAGCCAAATCTGCAAAATCAATCACACTTATCACAACGATAATATTAATGACAAACCAATATTGCAATATGACACAAGCACAACGGCAACAACCAACATCATGAAGGATATCTTGGCCAAGTAGAGTAATGGAACCTTCTAATTATAAAGTTACAGTTCAACGAACCCTCGCGCAACGAATCACTGAGGAGGTATTTTTTTGTCACCCTCATCACTCTGCAAGAACAAGACTCACAATGCCCAGTCTTGCCGAAAGACTACAGTCGGTTCCACAGGCCATCCCGCAAAGCTAGATTTCAAAGGCATGGTAAGGCCGATTTGTGGGATTGCTTCAACCGAGATCGCTTGAGCGTAACTTCACTTCTGCGAAGCTCTTATAGGACTGGGCAAGTGTTGTCAAATGCCTGATATGAACTCTATGGAAAACCAAGAAGATCGAAGAAACAACAAAACATAGAAGGATTCACTGCAGGACTTCGATGCCTAAGCGGTCTACAGCTTCAAGTCACTACTGCACTACTAGTCCACCCAATATTGTGAGATATTCGTCACGTTGAGCCTTTCACCCAACGAAGGGTTCAATGTTCAACAATGTTCGCTCGCACAATGAGAATTCCATCAATGGCATTGCATTGGCAGCAAAGGGTCACCTTTGTGGAGGGCTCTGTCGAAGATGCATCCAATCTCTTGGCCGCCAAGGGGATAGTGACGCAGGGCAAGCCAGAAATGATTCGGCAACACATTGATGTGACTGCTGTTCAGGACCCGGAGCTGAATTCTTTTGTGGATATTGAGGCTTGGAAATCTGTAAAGCTTCGAGCAACAAGATTTGGCTAATTGACGAAAAAGGAAACACTGGCCACGTGGTTTTTACAAAATTTAATATGGTGAGATTCGATTGCGGATGATTATGGAAGCGTTTCGTCGTAAAACACTTCAGCTTGTCAATCCGGTGTTGACCAGGACATGGAGTCATGAGCAAATGGAAAACCACCTTACATTCTCCACAACACTCACTGCGCAAGGGGAAATCCGATGAAATCCAGATGCAATGTGAAGGGGGCAGCGTGATGCCAAGCTTCGCTTCGGTCCGGGCCTCAGATTCATCAGATTGTGTCTCTTGTTTTTGACGGCCCGGCAACCTTGCAATCTACCTCGAGCGCAGGCAGTGGAAGACGGCAAGGGTTGCATACTGCCACGCGGCCATGTAAGACATGGAGCGCTACCTGTGCTCTCGAAGTCAGTCATAATCGACCTGGGACATTGCTGTCTACTTCATTTTCTTGGGGACGGCTTGACCGCGACGTTTGAGAGACCAAGCAAAGGAAGATCAGCACCATTGTGCTTCTTCTGATCCATGAGCTTGATAGTACAAAGACATCCTGGAGTCTGGAACACCTCGCGGGCAAAGAAGGGCATGTCAGTATTTGGTTCATGATTCGAGTGCGCAAGGAGCTGAGTTGTTTCACTTTTTGTGGAATTTGCAGGGTCTCTCCTTGGAGGAGTGTCAGCAAAGCCGACTACCTTCGTCTTAAGTCGGCAACATCCCGTGCGATGGTTGATGGCGAATGAGCTCCAAATGCAGATGGCGAAAGCGGTCCTTGGAGCCTCGGAGCATATTAACGGGCATTTGGCAATGTCAACTGTGACGCCGCCTAGCCTCTCTGTGCTCCAAAATGCTCCAAACTACCATGGTGGGCGATAACTTGATTTCACTGTGTTCACCTGGATTTACAAACCGCTCGCTTCGTCACATCGACTTCATGCTTGACTTAGAAAAATGTGCTTCCGTGTGCTCGGCTTCCCTCTTAATCAGCCAGCAAGCGACCCTCTCTAAAGCCTTCTGTATCAAGATCCAATCGTCCTGACGTATGTATGCTGCATGCTATGTGTGAATTTTGAGACAAAGGTTTTCTGCCAATGGGAAATGGTTTTCTGTCGCTCCTCACTCTGGATCTCGGCTTTCAATTCTTCACAGTCCAGATCTGGCGGCGGCCTTGGTCAATCAAGAACACTGCGAGCATCGCACCAACATGCGCAACTTAACTTTGGTTTGACACAGCGCAGCCATCAAAGTGTAACGCCTGCCTCGTTGCTTTGAACTGCTTGGGCTGCCACTGACTTAAAAATAGTCTGTTTTGGTTCCGGTAGAAGAGCTGGCAAGGCTGCTCAAAACGGCGCAACCGTGGATGGGTTTGGAGTCTCTGTACATTGAGCCCATCAATATGTCTACGATCCCTCACGTATCCTAGGCATGTTGGCACTTGCAGAATCGGTGGAGCCTTCGGATCGATATCGAGTTTCCTGAGCTCCTCGTCGACATTCTTGCAATTCTCCGAATCCTTGTCCAAAACTCGGAGACATTAGAATGAGTGTAGAATCCCAGCCTGTTCCAATCCAGGAAGTAGGCGCGAAAATGTCTGGTAGCCTGGAGAGCACATGTTCAAAGCCGCGCACCGACTGAACCGCCTTTGCTTTGGATCTAGGATGATCTATGTCCCGCTAAGCATTCAGCTTTCAGTCGGCAAGCGGAAAGGTGCCTCAAAGATTTATGGTGCGTGCCCAGCTGTGCTTCTGTCAGTACAATTGGCGGTCCTGGTTTCCCTGAAATGGCACTTGTTCATTAATTATAAACATCGCACAATCTGAGGAGGGCACATCAATCACTTCTCCATAGTTCGACAGCGCTGCATGTGGAAGGCCATCTTCCGGGGAGTTCACGGGCACTCCCATTGGGGCTAGCCACTAGCATGTGTCTCGCTGATTGAGTGAAGAAGCGTCAAGAATCAAGAACACTACAGAACTTCTCGTTGAATCTTCATAAGTACTGTACGTCTCCACAATGGGAATGTTGCGCCATGCCATGGCCATGGTTAGCATATAGCCTTCTGAATTGAGCTCATTGGCTTCGTTCCCGTCAACGTCTCCAAAAATTCTTCAAGATGTCTTTGGCCGAACATCCAAAGGAATTCTTGGAAGAACACTGTATGTCGAAGTAAATATATGAAGCTATATATGTTTATATATGACATTTATGTATGTAAACACTTATAAACATTGAGATGTTGCAACGTGCCTTGGGGAAGTGGTGCAGCCTCGCAGTTCAAACAAGGCAGCATGTTACAATGTCGGTTCAGGAAAATTGTGCGTTCGAACGGGCCTGCCAAGCGTGGCAAATCCTACGCCTTTTGATTCCTGGCATTTCCTGGCAAGTTTGGCAAAACAAAGCTGTGTTCAACGTCTGGAATTCGCATCACATGCAGGGGGGACCCATGCTTAAATTTTACGATGCCACTCAGAAAACTTATGTGGTTCAGCAGTTGGGATGCAAAGCCAGTTGGTGGAAATGGGTCATGTGAGTCTTTCAGTCAAAAGGATGATCAAGTGCACAAATAAACACACTATTTACGGTAACCAAAAACAAACACCACTGAGAGAAATCCGCCGACCCCTGACTAGCGGACGCCCAGGCGGGGCGGCGCCGGGGACACCGCAGGGTGAAACAGTTGGCCAGGCCAAGCAGATCCAAAACACTTCGCCGTGGCGCCGCTGCCTTTCTCTGCCCAAGCAAGTGTGTCGACGGTTCCGTTTCTAGGTGTGGCCGTCGGTTGCATTTTGCCTTATGCCAGGCAACTGGGCCAGGCCAGGCGACGTTAGGCATTTTGGCTGG